GCAGATTTGAACTTTGACTCCGTAGTAATCGTTTGGAACTGAAAAAATTTCTGGCTAGCGACACTTAGGCAGGCAATGACGCTATAGACATTAATATGCCGAATTTTCTACACATTAAATTGAACGTACTCATAGTACTGTGCTGTTCAAAGCAATGGAGGTAATAGATTGGAAGTATTGGACTAAGAAATAGAAGAAGGATAATAAAACTCGCACTTGATTATATGAACATATGAAACAAAAGTATTAATTTAATAGGTAAATATATAGTATATAGTCATTCAAACAAGATATTTCTGAGAAATTGAGCAAACTTTGTAAACCCTGACCAATAAACTAACAAAAGTAGAGAAACCATGCGGTTGTGACTATTACAAAAACAGTCAGAATACCAGCACCACATTTAGTCCTCAAACAGTATTCTGCTATTGTTCAAGACGATAGCAATAACCATATGGCAAAGAAATATTCCCCAATCTACTTACTATCACACATATATTTCTCAGATTCGATCATAATTTGCTTTTTTTCTTCCTCTAAGTGTTTCATCGTCTCAACTTGATTTGACCATTTATCAACTTCTGGATCTTTCATAATGGAACAGAATGAGCCCAACAAAGCCTGAATCATAGTGTTTAAATCATTTCAGCATTTCAAAATTATTCTATTTGGAACACAACGAACACACATACTGATGGTTCGCACACCAGAGTAGCACGGGGACCCCAGTCATATGTAAATACTTGAGTTTCGCAACGATCAGATGACTTTGAGAAAGATATATATCCTGGAAATCTCGGGATTCATTCTCCAGTAAGAGTATAAAGATAATTTCATACCTTGATAAATGAACTCGGCTGTGTGCATTGGCGAAATAAGTTTCTTGATATCACCAAAAATTGGGTCGGGAACTTCATAGGTGAGCCCAAGAGCTTTCTTTAAATTAGTTAATCTAACATTGACATCTGCAATAATTGAAAAGAGAAAAAAGAAAAAGCGTAAAGTTGTACCAAAGGAACAACTAACCAAGAAATTCAATAGGACTGTCTCAGTAATAGAAATTACGTTAGTTCTTTTACTCTTGCATGCAAAAATGAACATCAGAATCGCAGAGAGCAGACCTTTTTTCGCTTGAGCCTGAAGCAATAGGATGTACATAAGACGAGTTTACATTACTATAAAATTACCATGAGATCATATGGATAATTCTCTTCTATATGTTCCATGAGAACAATGTGGGACTGACAAGATCGATGAACAACCTAAAAAATTTACGCGAATTTTTTGAGGATTGAAATTCAATAGCAGTCAGTAGATACCTTACATCCGAAAGTTCGCTCAAGAGATCTACTGACTTCTCTTAAGACCGATGGATATTCTTTTCTTGTCAAACAATAAAGCTTTTGAGCTAGAACATCCTTCAACGCACCATCCTTTTCCTGAATAAGCTGACGGAAAATTATTGTGCATTTTCTGTTGAATGTATAAAAAGCATCATCGTTCTAAACTATTTCTTCCATTGCTGAATATGCATAAAGTGAATCGAAATTGCTAACACTCCATTCGAAGTTAGTTAGTTAGTTAGAAAAAACCCCGTTGAACTGACTCTATTCGATAGATATGCTATGCAGCAGATATTTTTGAAACAAATTTCATGACACTGACTCCACTGAAGAATCAAGTAAAAAAACTTCAAAAAGAAAAGGAATATATCCATCAATACAATTCTTTGTGAATTGTTTCCACTATAATCCTACTGCATATATCAGTTTTACTTAATTTTTGATGCTTGAACTTAGAAAAAAGGTTAATAATGAACAGGCACGTTTTCTTAGGCGATATGTCACGACAATGTCACATCAATTGCTATGAGAAAAAAAAATGAAAAGAAAAATTGGGAAAGCAGTTTTCGAGTTACAACACGGAATTCCACACATTCTTGTCAACTGTGGTAACCAAGCTTATCGATGATGATCCAATAATCTGATATCTTTTCTGAATAGAACGCTTTCATGATTTATAGCATCACTGTGCACAGCTGGGAAAATCACAGGAGTGCGAATAAATAAAAAAAGGTCCAGTTAATAAAGAACCCATTATGTGATGGAAGTCAAATCAAGTAACTTCCAGATTGAAGAAACAAAATTTTACGTACGACCTATACTTTGGACGATCTATGAATGTAGAGAACGATATAAGAGACAAATTAATTTACGAACTATCCACAGGGCACTTGAAAGGATTCATCATAAATACAGCCGGTAAACTCCATACTAAAGTGAACACGGCAGT